TTTTTGACATTGGTGTTTTGACATTGGTGTTTTTGACATTGGTGTTTTTGACATTGGTGTTTTGACATTGGTGTTTTTGACATTGGTGTTTTGACATTGGTGTTTTGCACAAGCATTCATTTCATTTCATTTTTTTTTTTTTTTAGTTTTTCGAAACTGAAAGATTTTTCGCATAAATAGTTTCATATCGCAATTGCCATTTTACAGAATTTTATTACCGTAAACATTAGGTAAAAACATGTTAGAATTATTGCAAGTTTAACAGACAGGCTATTAAAGAGACAAAGTACAAAGATATTGTCAACATTATTGATTAAAATTTAAAAAGCTGGTACCTCAAACCATTAACTGTGGCGTTATTGTGAGTATTGTCATTATCAATGTCAATGAAGTTAAGTTAGTACATCAAACCGGTAATTAAGGTGTGTGTGGATATTGTGGCTAGCAATGTCATCGTAGTTAACTAAGAAGTTCAAACCATTAATTACGGTTTGTGTGTGTGAGAGAGGGGTTATGTTACTGTCAATGTCATTGTAGTTAATTTAGTACTTAAAATCGGTAACTTTGAGGTGTGTGAGTGGGAAGAGTAATGTCACAATCAATGTCATTGTAGTTAATTTAGTACTTCAAACCATTAACTCACTGTAGTTTGGTTAATGCTTCAAGACATTAACTATATTTTGGAGGTAAAATCAATGTAGTTAAGCTATGGTGTGCGGGTATCTTTACTGTCAGTCTCACTGTAGTTAAATCCGGCATGGCCAGGTGGTTAGGGCACTCGACTCGCAATCTGAGGGTTGCGGGTTCGAATCCCCGTCACACCAAACATGCTCGCCCTTTCAGCCGTGTGGGGCGTTATAATGTGACGGTTAATCCCACTATTCGTTGGTAAAAGAATAGCCCAAGAGTTGGCGGTGGGTGGTGATGATTAGCTGCCTTCTCTCTAGTCTTACACTGCTAAATTAGGGACGACTAGCGCAGATAGCTCTCGTGTAGCTTTGCGCGAAATTCAAAACAGACAAACAAACCCACTGTAGTTAAGTTAACGGCATTAGTTATAGTGTGCGGTATCTTTACTGTCAGTCTCAATGCAGTTAAGTTAATAACATTAGCTATGATACGCGGTATCTTTACTATCAGTCTCACTGCAGTTAAATTAATAGCATTAGCTATGGTGTACGGGTATTGTTAATGTCATTAGCTATGGTGTGCGGGTATTTTTATTGTCAGTCTCACTGTAGTTAAAAGTTAATTATATTAGCTAGGGTGTGCGGGTATCTGTATTGTCAGTCTCACTGTAGTTAACAGTTAATGACATTAGCTATGGTGTGCAGGTATTTTTACTGTCAGTCTCACTTTTGTTAATTTATGACATTAGCTATGGTGTGCGGGTATTTTTACTATCAGTCTCACTGTAGTTCAGCACACAGAATTCATATAATTTTAAGTTTACAGTAATACAGTTTACAATACGTTAAGGACAGAGATGTGCAAGCAGCAGAAGTTTATAACATCAAAACGCATGTTTGTTACAATACAGTTAGAGCTCAGTTATTTGTTTATTTTTAACTGTAATTACGGTACATTTTTGAAAAGTTTGTAAGTAAATCTTCAATACATAGAAACTTTAGAAGGGAAAAAGAAAAACTATTTGGTTGTTGTTTTCATTTTGTAAAAACAAGTGGGGCAAGATTGTAAAAACTCTTTTTATTCTCTGACAGACGGAGTTACTTCATTCATACGCTCCTGTCAAAATAATTAAGTTGCTTCGTTATCTTACTCCATCTTCATTTGGCCCTGATTATCTCGATTGTTAAAATCACAAGCTGACTGAACTTCGTTGTGTTACATCAAAACTTTCTTCGAATTATCTATTGTGGGTGTTGCAGTTACTTGATGTATGTATGATGTTTCCTGAATGATAGGATCTTAGCTATTCACCGATACACCAATGCTTAAATAAAGAAGGCACCAAATAAGTAGGTCAGCTGTTAGCAATACTACAAAGTTGCATGTTACTTAAACGTAAAGAATGTTTAGATAAAATCCATTGAAGTGTTGGACTTCTTTCAACTTTGTGTTGTAAATTACGAATTGTTTCAACTAACCTGAAAATATTGAAAGTTCTTTTTTTCACATTTCAGATAGAAGTGTCCGTACTGTTCCCTGTTATATGATTAGCAGGGGCATAGCTTATTTCCTACGTAACACTCTGAAGGGGACACTATTTCTTATTGGTGCTTAAAAGGGTACACGCCTATGTACGTAAACGTTCTGTTATTCTAGGATTTACCTTTTTATATTCCAATCTCGTTTTTGTTTCATTATTCTTTTGAAATTTACTGCTGTTTTTCTGTGCAAAATGGTCACGGAAAAATAGACAACATAACTTTTTAAAAACGTTAACTTCAAACCAAAGTAACCCTTCTTTTTTTATTAGATGATTGATAACAATGCTGGATTTTTTTCGACCCAAATCGTTGGCATACTGACATTTAGAAGTAAATATAAAAATAACGTTGCCTTTAAGACTACAATAGTCTGTGATCCAACCTTCTTTGAAAAATTGCCAAAATCCCACACGGATGAATTTGTTTCAGGCAGTCGTCTCGATAGTTATTCACTAAGAACAGAGTTTGTGATGATAACAGTTCCGAAAGCGAAATTGTTTGCAAAAGTACAATTCAAATTCCAAAAACATTATTCACACACATCTTCGTACTAGATAACCTTCTCTACTCTATATAACTTATCTGTATGACTTTTGTTTCTACTTTGTTCAAAATGTCTTTGTTGTCAAATAGATAAAATATTATCTACTCCTGTAAAATCGAAAACATTAACAATGGCAAATATCTATTGTTCAAGTAAAAGCTATATGTCCATTACACTAACTTAATTTTTGGTTATGTTTATCGTACTGTGCTTGCATTGTTTTAGTCTGAGTGTGTTAATGTAACAACGGTGACGCCCTCTATTTGGTTCGATTCCAGTCTACTAGCGAAAGTTGCCAAAAGAGTGTACACAGTTAATTCGCTTCAAGGTGAAGATACAGAAATAATGAACGCCCTTTGTTCACAGAATTATGTAACTGTGTATATATTTATAAAAACATGAAGCCCAAAATAGCACTTCAAATTTTCGAGTAACTTTAAAACTCTATATAAGGTAGCTGAATAATCAAAAGGCAAGAGAGAAAATCATATTTATATTTAAGTGATCTTTTAAATCGAGTTTAAATTAATTTTTTATTACTTTACTTTCTAATTCTGGGCAGTTTATCCATTTTCTTAGTATAAGCCAGGTGTGGCCAGTGTTAGCATGCCTGACCTATGAATCTAAGGATTCATGACCTGTTGCCTCTAAACACGTTCCACATTTTGGGATCGTGGGTTCGTTTTAAATGTAACGGTCAAATCATACTATTCAAACAAACAAGAGTAGCCCTAGAGTTGGCGGTGAGTGCTGTTGTCTATCTCCTCTAATCTAGTTTATTGATTCAAAATTAGGGACAGCTGTGCGCAGGAAGCCCTTATGTAGGTTTGCACGAAATTCTGAAACAAAAAACTTCTTTCGTGTACTTTGTCTTTTATGATCTAACATGAAATTCTGGCAATCAAAGCTCATATATGGTTAGATTGATAGATGTTGCACATAAAATTAGGTT